GATGCAGATTCAATTAATGCCCAGATGTTGCCACATCTGTTTAACCTATCCTCTTTTTATGCTCAAGTATTTTAAAGTGTATCCCAGACATCATATAATTCCATTTCTGAATATTCTGAGTACTTCACTAAACACCTCTAAAAATAAGGACATTTTCTTATATGTGTTATTATCATACTTCAAAATTAAATTAAAACTAACCTCTTAGTTTCATCTTATATTCCTAATACTTTTATATTCAAATTTCAAATTGTCTCCAAAAAGTTTTTTTTTTTTTTTTAATTTTAACAGTTTGAGCCGGGCTGGGTGTCTCAGTCGTAATCCCGCGCTTTGGGAGGCTGAGGTGAGTGGATTGCCTGAGCCCACGGGTTCAAGACCCGCCTGGGCAACTTGGTGAGATCTCATCTCTACAATAAATCAAAAAATTAGCCGGGTGTGGTAGCCTGTAGTTCTAGCTACTTGGAAGGCTGAGGCGGAAGGATCACAGGAGCCCAGGAGGTGGAGGCTGCGGTGGCCGGGAGCGGCCACTGCACTACAGTCTGGGCGACAGAGTGAGACTCCAACTCAAAATAAAATAAAATAAAATTTTAACAGTCTGATTTGGACTTAAAAAATGATTCAAAGGCTGTTCTTTTCATCTAGAGCAGTCTCTTTCCTCCCCAACTTTTTATTTCATGTCGCAGGCAGGGACTATTTTAGTTGTTCTATTTCTTCCAGGGCAGGTATGAGTTTCTGATTACATAAGTATGTCTAAATATATTTTTATGTTGTTTGTACAACTAATTGATACTTTGGTTGAATACTGACTTCTGTGTTGAAAATCCATTTTCCTCAGAATTCTGAAAGCACTACTCCATTTTTGCATCCAGAGGTGCAATTGAATAGCCCAATACTTTTCTAATTCCCCATCATTTGTGTATAATTTTTTTTTTTAATTTCTGAAAGCTTTAGCATCATCTCCTTTATCCCCAGTAATCTAAAATTTCATGATGATATATCATGGTGTGGGCATTTTTCATTCACTGTGTCAAATACCTTTTAAATACACACACCAATGTCCTTCAGTTTCAAAGATTCCTTGTATTATTCTTGATCATGTTCTCCTCTTTATTTTCTGCTCGCTTTTGGCAAGATTTTAGATGAATAATTCCACTACATCTTTTATCTCTTCTCTTATATTTACTGTTCTTTATGAATTTGTCTTACTTTCTGGGAAATTTCTTCTTTAACTCTTTTATTAATTTTTAAATTTTGATAATAATAGTTTTAATTTCCAGGAGCTCTTTTTCATTCTCTGGTAACATTTTTTGGTGATATTGTGTTGTGTTTAATGAATGTAGTATCTGCTCATATCTCACAAAGAGTTTATGTTTATGAAGTTTTACTTTATTCTTTTTTTTGGAGTCACAGTCTTATTCTGTTATCCAAGATGGAGGACAGTGGCACAATGATCACAGCACACTGCAGGCCTGACCTGCTGAGCTCAGGTAATCCTTCTGCCTCAGTCTCCCGAGTAGTAGGGACTACAAGTGCAGATCACCACACTCAGCTAATTTTTTTTTTAAGAGATGAGGTCTTACTATATTTCCTGGTCTTGAACTCATGGGCTCAAATGATCCTCCCATCTCGGCCTCCCAAGTACGGGGATTACAGGTGTGAGCCACCGTGCCTAGCCCAGTTTTTTTTTTTAATTTGTTTTTCTCATTTAAAAGTTTCACATTAGAGGCTTTTCCTGACTTCTCTGGTGATCCTTGGTTTTCCTCACTTCTCTGGTGATCCCTGGCTGCTTTTTTTTTTTTTTTTTTTGAGTTGGAGTCTCACTCGGTCGCCCAGACTGGAGTGCAGTGGCCGCTCCCGGCCACCGCAGCCTCGCCTGCTGGGTTCTGGCGATCCTTCCGCCTCAGCCTTCCAAGTAGCCGGAATTACAGGCATGCGCTATTAGGGGGGAAAATATTTATTTAGAGTCATAGTCTCACTCTGTCGCCCAGGCTAGAGTATGCTTACAGCCACCACAGCCTCAACCTGCTGGGCTCAGGCAATTCTTCTGCCTCAGCCTTCCAAGTAGCTCCAACTACAGACACGCTCCACCACACGCGGTTAATTTTTTTTTTATTGTAGAGATGGGGTTTCATCAAGTTGCCCAGGCTGGCTCGAACCCATGGGCTCAGGCAATCCTCTCAGCTCAGACTCCAAGTACTGAAATTACAGGCTTGAGCTACCACACCTGGCCGGGAAAAATTTTAATGAACACAAAAGAGGGAATAGTATATGGAGTGCCCCATGTGCCCATCCCCTGGCTTCAATAATGATCACTATTTGACCAACCTGGTTTTACCTATTCCCCTCCCCTCCACACATACCTCTCCAAAGCTTGGGGTTTTGTTTATTTGGATTTTCGTTTTGTCTGTTCTTTTTTAACATGTCAGCACTAATCAGGAATTCTGTGGACATGATTGAGGCTTGCTAACTGGAAGACATCACTTGTGGATGATTCACTAGGAAAGTAAGACTTTTCCTTAGATGAACTCAACATTGGTATACAGAGGTCTTTCTTCCACGCTCATTCAGTTTTTTCAGAACATAAATATCTAGTCTTGTGCCTGGATAGCCAGCATCTGAGAGCAAATATGTGCACAAGGAAGGGGGCCAACAGGCCCTGATGTAAACTCTCAGTCTCCCACCTCATCTCACAGTGGCTCTGTGCCACATTTCATGCTTCCAATTCCCAAGATGCTCTAAGGTTGGGTGGGATGAGTCATGTTATTCCCCTGAACGTACACTTGTAGTCTTGGCTTTCACCATACTGAAGGATGGGAAAGGACACTATACTCTCTGTCTTCTAAAGTAGGAGGACAAGAGATACTGCCTAGAGTACATAAACAAGAAATAAAGGTTTAACTATAAGTTACAAAGATAACCAAAAGAAAAGCCAAAATGAATGAAACAAATATACTAGGAGGAATAAGAAAAGGAGGGGGAATTGAGCCAAATCCTCATTTACCATGGCAAAAAAATGAGAAAAATCAATGAACGATATCTGGAGTTCATAAGGCAAGAAAAAGAATATTAGCATTTTACTTAGAGGTATGAAGGTAACCCTTGAAGGACATGACTGCCCATAAGGAGCATGCTGGGTGGGAGGGATAAGGCAAGGGACTCCTGCATTTCATTATGAGCCTGTATCAAAGAAAACCATGTGGATTTGTTTGGTACAATTTTTCTTTTAAGAAAAACATATCAGGGAAAAGGAGAATTCTTCGATGTTCCCATTATTCTTAGGATAAAGGCCTAAATTCTTTAAGCAGTTGATAAGTCTGTTTAAAAACAAATTTTTTAAAAAAAGCTTTTCTGACAATTATGTATATATGTTCCATCTCTAGCAGACCAATTCAATGATTCACTCTGGCAGGGACATTTTATAAGAAAAGATAATGGTTAGAGAATACTGTGAAACTTGGTAGAGTAAAAAAGAATGTACGACTAAAGGTTACTAGACTCATGACCAATAGCTGGCGGGATGGATAAGTGGTTTCCCAGAACAAGTTTTAATCCTGTTAAAATGTATTAGAAAATTGCTTTGATGTTTTTCTTTTTTTACAGGAATGCTAATTTTTTCCCAGAAGGAGGCTATAAATTATATCATGACAAAAGATTTTGTCACAGACCTAGCTTGGGCAATTTTTTCTCTTACAAGTCTCTATCTGGACCAGTTCTGTCCACAGCTCTGTCCAACAGAACATTCTTCAATGATGGAAATGTTCTGTATCTTTGCTTATTCCATGAGACAGCCACTAGCTACATGCGGCTATTGAGCATTGAAATGTGGCCAGCAGAATTAAGCAACTAAAGCTTTCATTTTATTTAATTTTAATTGAAATGTAAATAGCTATGTGTGGCTAGTGGCTACTACACTGGATGGTGCAGGTCTAAACCACCTTGGCTCCTAGCCTCTTTTCTCTCCAAGCACTCCTTCTCTCTATAAGCCAGCCACTCGGGCTCATTTTCATTTCCTAAAACAGGCCTATTCCTGCCACAGACAGAGCCTTTGCACTCCTCTGGCACAGTCTTCCCTCGCTTACTCCCCAGCTTTTTCATCTGTTTAACTACTACTTGTCTTTCACTACCTAAAATTATCTTGTCTATTTATTTGCTCACTTGTATATGGTTAAGTTTTTTTGTCTCTCTACCACCATCACCCCAACCCAGCCAACCCTGGAGCAAAATACAAGTTCCATTTGGGCAGAACCCTGCCCACCCTGCCCATCACTGTATTTCTACCACCTGGACAGAACATTGTTTAGCTCTCAGTGATTTTTTTTTTTTTTAATTAGAGACAAGGCCTCACTCTGTTGCCCAGGCTGGAGGCAGTGGTGCAATTATAGCTCACTGTAGCCTCAAACTCCTGGGCTCATGTGTTCTTCCTACCTAAGCCTCTCAAGTAGCTGTGACAACAGGTACAAACCACCACTATGGCTAATTTTTTTTAAGAGATGTAGTTGTGCTACAATGCCCAGGCTGATCTCAAACTCCTAGCCTTAGTGATCCTCTTGGCTTGCCCTCCCAAAAAACTGGTATTACAGGCATGAACTACTGCACTTGGCTCTCAGCTAATATTTAATGGACAAATGTTTTCTCACAGTTGTAACTGTCATCTCTCTGAGACTCCCCATTTCTATATGTAGACCCATTCTTGCTACTGCAATTTTGTCCCCTATTTCCAACAGCCCCATGAGCATTTCTACTTAAATACCCCAGTATCTACACATCAAAAAAAATTAAATCCTCTGTTGCCAGATTAACCTTCAGAAAGATTGGCTTTATTTATGTCATACAACTCCAAATAAAGAAGCCCTCAAAGACATCTAAGAGAAAAACCAATTTTATGGAAACAGTGAACACATGGTACATACTACAAGGTTGTCAGTACCTTTACACATCAATATAAAAAGAAAGCAAATTGCAATGTTTCTGCAAAGATAAGACGGGAAAGTTAAACTTACCACAAGTTCAAAAATGTCCATGAAAACGGAATGTCCCTTTGGTGTTTTCTCATTCAGACTGGCAGGAGACCAGATCCAATAGAAGTAAGTACCATCTGAAGAGACATGCACGGTGCTCATGGTGCTGCCAACAGGGAGGTGGTTGGCTGGCATTGGCACCACCTGACACACCTGGATATGAAAGGGAGGAAATCATCATTAGCGTGACTATAAATTCTGATTAATTCTATCAGCACATTGTCAACACTATTAAGTCCAAGATGAGAATTCACTAGGCTTCCTGGTCAAGATAGAATTGATATTTACCTTTAAGAATAATATAAAACACTTGGCAAAAACCAGAAAAGCTTATACAACAGGCAGTAGGATAAATATGAACAGCCATGCTAACATAAGAAGATTCTTAAGATTAATTCAAATGACATTTTAATAGAAAAATGTATTTGCTGAATGCCTTGAATCCGTTATGCATGTGCTTAACACTTATTAAAACAAAATTTTAGAGAAATAGCACTTTTTGAAATTTCTTAAATAAATGAACTTAAGATCATTAATTATAAGACAGAAACTATGCCCTATTCATCTTTAAATCCCCAGCACCTCATTCAAAGTCTAATTCAACTTATTTAAATATGGAAGGAGCCAGACGTGGTGGCTCATGCCTGTAATCCCAGGCCAGGGCAGGACAATCACTTGAGGACAGGAGTTTGAGATCAGCCTGGGCAACACAGCAAGACCTTGTCTCTATCAAAAATAAGAAAACTTAGCTGGGCATGGTGGCACATGCCTTTAGTCCTAGCTACTTGGGAGGGCAATGTGGGAGGATCATCTGAGCCCAGGAGTTAGAGACTGTGGTAAGCTGGGATCATGCCACTGCACTCCAATCTGGATGACAGAGCAAGACACTATCTTTCAACAAAAATAAAATTTTAAATATGGAAAGAAGACACCTGTACATACATGTTTATTGCTGCACTATTCACAATAGCAAACACATGGAACCAACCCAGATGCCCATCAAAAGTGAACTAGGTAAAGAAAATGTGGTGCATATACATGATGGAATATCATGCACCCATAAAGAACAATATCATATTAACATCACAGCAACCTGGATAGAGTCTATGATTCTGAGTGATGTATCACAGAAACAAAGAACTGAGTATCACATGTTCTCACTCATAAGAGGACCTTGAACAATTATCATAATACTATAAGAAAAGGATTGGCAGTAGCGGGAAACTGCCGGGGGGTGAGGGGGGAGGCAGGATTGGCAGTAGTGGGAATCTGTGGTGGGGGGACACTTCATCAACAAGAATACCTGCATAATAAACATTTGTATACCTAACCCTGAATTGTACCCCACATCTTTAAAATAAAAAAATTAAAAGAGAAAAAAAAAGAACAATATCACGCCTTCACAGCAACTTGAATGCTGTTGGAGACTATCACATTAAGTAAACTATCACAGAAACAACAAACGGAATACCACATGTTCTCACTCATCAGTGGGCCCTGAATACTATTCACACTAGTACAAGGGTGAGACCAGCAAACACTGGACACTTCCAGGGGAGGGGGGAAGGAAAAAGGGAGGGGGGCACGTGACAACACACTGAGTACCTAGTACTATCAGGGGAAGAGAGGGCCAGTTAGAAACCCAAACTTGCTGGGTATGGTGGCTCATGCCTATAATCCCAGCAATTTGAGAGACTAAGATGAGAGGATTTCCTGAGCCCACGGATTCGAGACCAGCCTGGGCAACTTGGCGAGACCTCATCTCTATAATAAATCAAAAAATTAGCTGCACGTGGTGGTGTGCCTGTAGTTCTAGCTACTTGTAAGGCAGAGGCAGAAGAACTGCCTGAGTCCAGCAGGTCAAGACTGAGGCGGCCGTGAGTATGCCACTGCACTCTAGTCTGAGCAACAGAGTGAGACTTCAACTCAAAAAAAAAGCCCAAATGTCACCTGCATGAAACCTACTACTGTAGTAAATCCCCACTTGTATCCCACAACTCTAAAATTTTAAAAAAATGTTTTTAATGGGAGGAAGAAAAAAGAGATGGCAGAAGAAAGACAAGAGGGAAAGCTGAGGAAGACAGGGAGAAAGGAGAAACAAAGTAAAATAAGGCCCACAACAGATCCTAACTTGGCACGTGAGGGCTTATTGACATTCATCAAGTCTATCACGAGAAAAAGACAAATACCAATTCTATACATTAGACATGAAAGTACATGTTTCCAATACTAAACATCCTTCTGTTTCAGCATAATGAACAAATTGTACATCATTTCACATTAAATGTGTAGCTATATACTAATTTTCACCGCTAGAAATAAGCACTTAAAATATGGGAAAATGAGAACCCAAAAAAATGCTGGCTAGATTTAAAACAAAAATCCAGAAATAGAAGAGCTAAAAAAACCAAAATAAAAATAATTAGAGAAGGTCAGATGCCTTCAGGGAACAGTAAGAACAGTTTTCAACTACCCCATCACTTTGGGTGGGTCATTAGCTTTCCTAAGACTACTTTTGACCCCTCTACTTATTTCATATAAACTTTTCGCCAGACATGTTTCATTTAAGTCAAAAGTAAAAACTCACTTTTTGCTATAAACATACTTTAGATTTGCAGTGCCAGAAATCTAGAAAGTTGACAGCCACTAGCTGGCCTGTGCTATCCCCAAATTGTTCCCAATGCACATATCTAGTTAGTGACTGACAGCACTGCTTTCTTGGACAGTGTCAAAGTTTTTGCTACAACAGAGAGGAAACTGACATTGCTTCAAATGTAAACCATGTACTGAGATGTAACACCTGTTAAACACCCAGCCTTATAACTTCCATTTCAAATAATCATGAGACATTCTCAGCTGTCTGCATTCCTGACAAGAAGTTAGGTCAATTAAGCATCTATTTGTTAATTTATTCATTTTATTCACTCAACAATTATTATTATTACTATTATTATTAGTTGAGTTGGAGTCTCACTCTCTCACCCTGACTGAAGTGCAGTGGCCGCTCCTGGCCACTGCAGCCTCAGCCTGCTGGGCTCCAGCGATCCTTCCGCCTCAGCCTTCCAATAGCTGGAACTACGGTGTGAGCTACCACGCCCGGTTAATTTTTTTTATTTTATTGTAGAGATGAGGTCTTGCCAAGCTGCCCAGGTGGGTCTCGAATGCACGGGCTCAGGCAATCCACTCACCTCAGCCTCCCAAAGCGCTGGGATTACAGGCTGAGCCACCAAGCTAGGTCATCCAACAATTATTGAGCACTTATAACATGCTCTGGAGATGACAATGGTGAATAAAACTTGGTCCCAGTTCTCTAGGAAAGGCAGTTGAGTGGCAGACAAGTGCAGTGGCTCACACCTGTAATCCCAGCACTTTGGGAGGCCAAGCCAGGAAGACTGCTTAAGCCCAGGAGTTCAAGACCACCCTAGGCAACACAGCGAGACCTTGTCTCTACAAAAAATAAAAACTTAAGCCGGGCTCGGTGGCTCAGCCTGTAATCCCGCGCCTTTGGGAGGC